CAGCCATGTAACTGGTGAATTTTGGAGAAAAATTCTACATAAAAGATTATGTAGGTTTAATATTTGGCTATTTAAACTCTGAGAAGACAATTCACTTGCTCCTTCCAAATATAACAGAACAACAAAGTGAACACTGGCTGCACAGAGGCCAGGGAGCTGAGGGTATGTACCATCCAGATCATTGGATTCATACAGCTGTAAGCCCCTTGCTTAACCGGGCTTGTACAAATGGGATCAGTTCCTTGATCTGTCTGAAAGGGAATTTTTCAGCTGTCACTCAGAGCCAGAGACTTCTTTTCTGCTGGTCTGCCCTGAAAGATATTTATAATTTGTTTGTGATTTATTGAAATTTGCCTGGCTGTAGAGGAGCAGTATCTCGTAAGCTTCAGTCCTCTTAACTCTCTCCAGCTTGCTGCGTTCTCTTTGTGAAACTGTCTTCCTATGAGAGGACTCTGTGAGCACATGCTCTTCTCTGAGGTTTTTTAAAAATGGCATGTGATGCCATGCACAGTTTATTCCATCATTTTCTTTATTAAGACACTTAGAGGTTACAACAGGTGGTGCGGGTGTACAAAGAAAGGCAGAAATCTCTGGGTATGTGAGCTCCTGTTGGATAAATTTACTGGGAATAGTGGCTAAAGCTGGGGTTCTAGAAATTTAGTCTCAAAAGTTAATGCCATTGAAAGGTATTTTTAACTGAAAGTGAAGTCCTTTTTAAAAAAATGTAATTAATACACACAAGAAAAAAATAATGTGATTATCCAAGAAACTCTCATAACATCAATAATCTTTTGAAATACATATGAACAGTCCAAATTTGAAATATGTATAAATTTCCTTTTTTTGGTAGATGTGTAAATTTCTTATATCTACAGTTATACCCATTATTGATCAGCTTCTTGAAGCACCAGGAACAGATCATTCCTTCTTAAATTATAAAGTAACTGTTCAGCCTGTTTCTTCCATTTTGTTGCTTTTGTTGCTTTTGTTGCCAGTCACTTCCCTTTCACTTCATCTTTTTGTCATCCTGTCGATCGCAAGTCTTGTTTGTTCCTCATACTTGATGACCTGGAGATTAGTGTCAGTAATTCCGGCAAAGATATAAGTTCTGGGTCAGATAGCTGTCAATAGGAACATGGAGGAGAGTGAAAGCACAGTTGGTTGATTGACTGTTTTTGAATTATTTCATGAAGGGGCATCAAGAAAATTGACCACACTGTTTTCAGCTTAATATGCTTTTGTAGAATGCAATCCTGATTTTGCATGATATGAAAGAAGATAGGTTCTCAAGTATTTCCTAGGCAATGCATCAATGTATAGACGATATACAAATCCTTGGGATGTAGGGACTCTGTATTGCATGGCTTGTTAGACTTTTAGGCCTTAGGGTGGTTCCAGGGCAACTTCTGATGCTGTCTACAGATAAAGACTGTTTTCTTGTGATTTGATTATTGTTATTTTGACATCAGAACATATAACTACAAACCTAGCAAGCTAAAACAAAATAAACAGTAATTACAGCTCTGGTGGTCAGAGTTCTTAAATTCCAGGTGTTGGCTGGGAGGGTTGATTTCCTTTGGATGTTCTAGCAGAGAACCCATCCTACTACTTCTTCCTGCTTCTAGAATAGAAGCTTTACCCCTCTTCCTTCTTCAGAGACAGTATTTGCACCCAGAACCCCTGTTCCCTCAACATTTCTCTTCTCCCTCTGAAATTCTGCTTCTTTTTTTGTGAGGACCCTGTGGATACATAAACAATCTTCCCGTCTTAAGATCCTTAACTTCATCTACAAATGTTTTGCCACTTACAGGTTTTGGAGCTTGGGGCATGCACCCCTCCCCCTCCCTCCCTCTGTTTTTTATGCATGTGCAGAGTATTATTCTTTCCATCACAGCCCTGATCGTCAACCAGCTGTTTGACTTTTACTGTTGCTGATACAAGTCATAGGCAAACTGGAGTCAGTCGAACCATAGAATTTTTTAGAGTTACTTTAACCCTGTCTTGTATCTTTCTCCATGTAGAAGTCAAAGTAATGATGCTCTGTCAACTCTACAGAACAATGGGAGTTCAAACCACAGAGTTTTGCTGATCCATGCATTCTTTGAGTTTGATGCAGAGAATCTTCTGGGTCTTGAAATCTTAGTGTTAATGACTGGCACATTTCTGAGATATCATGCCCACCAAAGATATAAAGCAAATCTAATCCTCTGGATAAAGTTCTCAAATCCACTGAATTCCAACCCCATCACTCCACTGAGATCTGATCATTCTAAGAGCTTAGGAGAGATGCTGAAGGACCCTCTCAGGGCCAACTTCCACAGACCACATCATCCACATGGACCATGTGCCCTACTGTTGGCATCAGAATGGAAAACGGCTTTGTGCTTGTCTGAACTGAAAGGTCTTCGTTTTCTTTGCATATTTCTAGAAACTGCTATGCAGGGGGACAGCATGAACAATAAGTTTGGTGAGATGGCAGGTACCATGTGGGGACGGCTAAGACATTAAGGTTTACAATCTAAGGATGACAGGATGCACTGAAGGGATTTGGGGAAGCATGGAGAGGAGGGGGAGAAGTCAGAACAACTCCCACTGAGAAGGAAAACGGAGAATGAGCACAGCTTGGAGGAATAATGTAGGTTAAGTTGTAATTGCTATCGAGATGTGAACATCAAATGGTTGGCTGAATGATTCTGAGGCTTGGAAGGTTTGGGTTTATCACTCATCAGCTAACATGGTGATTAGGAATTCTTCTGGGGAGAGTATAGTTAAGTGAAAAGACAGCATAATGAAGGGACTCGAGGAATTAGAAAACATTGAGAGGACTGGCCAAGGAAAGTTTTGCAAAACACCACCACCACACACCAGACAAACACACTGAGCAATGGAGGTTAATTGGATTATGGAAAGAATTGGCATACTCAAAATTTTGGCTAGAGCTGTAACTCAGTGGTAGAGAGCAGACTTAGCCTGGATCAATCCCCAACACACACACACCCACACACACACACACACACACACACACACACACACACACACACACACGAGTCCATTTAGTGTTTCTCATATGTATATGAATTTGGAGATGACCACTTGGGGCTGGTCCCTGAAGAAAATGGATTCTTCTTCAGCAGCCATTGCTTGCTGATACCTTGTGCAAGCTCACCCAGGTAGGCATGTTGACAGGTGCTGTTGTGCAGGTCTTGAGATCTTGTTTAGGCGACCACTTGTTGAGATTTCATGGGTGCAGCCTCCCTGTCATGTCTAGAACAATCTTTCAGCTGCGGTCATCTGTCTTTATCCCCGCTCTCCCTTGGCGCTATCAGTTTGCACACATGAGAAGGCACTGCTCGGTGCTGTATTTTGTTCATTGATTACAGTAATGAGCAACTAGTTGAGGTTAACGTGGTTAAATTAGGAAAAACACGTAGAATTTCTTAAGACGAGAAGGCAATAAAGAAGGTCTTTTGGAGGAAGAATTACGTTTTTTTTTTTTTCCTCCAACGTCAATTGGATGTAAAATGCTACTTGTTATCAATTTAGCGGGGACGGGGGGGGGGATCGCATTAGAGAGTTTGTAATTTGATCCAGAGGGAATAGCAAGCTGAGAGTGAAGGAAGAGGAAAAATTGACTTCATTCTTCAGCTCTTTCTTAAATTCTGAGAAATGTGTGCCTTAAGCACTCCCCCTTTCAATCCCACAAAACAGGGAATCAGGAAAACACATTAGCACCCTAGTACAGAGTAGGAGCAGCATCAAGACAAGAGGAAACGGGGGAGGGGCGAGAAAACTTCCCCTGTCGCTTGGAGAATCTGCTGCAAGGCGTGGGAAGGAAGGGAAGTGGGGAAGGTACCCTGCAGACGTCAGCCAGACACTTTGCCGCTGGGCATGTGGGAAAGAACTGCAGGAGGAGGGAAAACATGCACTAGGGCTAGATGGAGGAGCTCCTGAGGCTGCTTTTGAGTGAGGATCTGGGGAGCAGCAGCGTTGTGCTCCAGGAGGCCATTCCTCCATTTTTTAAACCAAAATAAAGAGGGGGCGCTGGGCTAAGCCCGAATAAGTCACTAGGCGCAGCAGAACCCGTTTCGGCCTCTGGCTAAGGCCAGAGAGGTGGCCTTAGGGGACGCTGAAGTTACACTGTGGCTGGAGGGGAAGGGTCTCCAAGCTCCTCACCAATCACAGTGGCTGCTGAAGCTATTTGCATACGTTATGCTAATAGAGACCTCCCGCTCGGCTCCCACCCGCGCTCCCGCCCCCTCGTGGGTCCAGGCGGGCTGGGCGAAGGTGAATATCTTATGCTAATAAGGAGGCTCCTGCGGGAGGGGGCGGGCCGTGCTTGAGGCGCGCGCGCACTGTCTCACACGCGAGCATCCCGGGGTATTTAAGGCTCGCA